TCCGTAATAAGCTCAAGCTCTGAAACTGTCAACTTGTCACAATTACTCCCTCAAGCGCTACACAGTCCAGAGATGAACCTGTTGTATGGTCTTGTAGCAGATGTCTTCATTAATCTGCCTTTCATTATGTAAGAGGATTGTAAGAAGAAGAAGAGATGGAGGGATTGTGAACTTGGCCAGCAAAGGAAGTTAGTGAGGCTTAACGTGGTCAAAATTCTATGTTAAGACGCGCCTTTTCATGGTGATTTCGTTCATGACATTTGGCAGAATTGCGATGTTCACGGAACAACACGTAGTACGTTAGCGAAGTACGATAGTCGAAAATGAGATGAGCGAATTGCATTGGTTTTAGAATAGTTTGACCAATCACTGAATTGATGTGTGCAACTGCGAATAGAATGACCAACAAAGCAGTTATCAATAGTGGCAAAGTATTAGCAAAGTTCTCAACTGCTCATAGAATTCCTACCAATAGAGTGTCAACTCATTTCCCTTGGCTGATGGAAGGCGTAAAGACTCTGTTGGTTACAAACTTTCTTCCCCACCGTTTACCTGTCTGTCTGTATTGATCCGTACCTCATAACCATGCTAGAAGAATTCACAGAAAAAATTATCATATCAAATTATATTTGACAGGAGAACCAGAGGTAGGCATACCTATTTTGAAAAATAACTTGAAGCAGCATATTTCAATCTATATAAATAGTTAAATATAATTACAGAATGAGCAGATCTAAAAGATCAACGCTGTTTTTAGATGATACAGGATAGACTAACACCAAGTATAAAACTTTCTCCTCTTTGAATAAAATGGCTTGCCATACATTTTCGGATCATTTCTCTACAAAACTGGAAACCTTCACAAAAGTGTCTAGAAAGTTTCAGCATCCGTTCTCGCGCTGAAACATGAGAGTCATGGTTAAATGGCTAAGTAGATAAGAAAGAAGAGCAACGTCGTATCCAGTGCCACGATCACCGATCTCTGCCGATGCGGCCATATCAAAATTATCTACTTAAACATTTAATCAGTGATTAACGTCGTTATTCGTTACATTCAAAACGTTGTTGATCTTCTGGTAACTGTAAGTGATTTTTCAACATACAGTTAAGAGTGAGTAATTAGAAAAACACTGCTAAACACTCATAAGGCTGCTAAAAAACAGTAAAAGAAAGCATTTTATAGTTATGCATGTCAAATAGCCTTGAGCTCAACGGGATCATTGCCAAAGTGAGCTTAGCAGACGAAACCCGTTGAAGGTTCGTTGGTGACAGTTTCGATAGTTTACATCGAAGGAGGAGTTGGCGACAAAGCGGTGGTTTCTGTGGCGTAGTGAAAGCACGCGCTCCAGGTTTGGATGAAAGGAGGGTTAGACTACCTCCTAAAGTTCAGAGGTTCTGAATATCATTCAACACTCTTAAACGTATATTTAAGACATCATAACTCTGCCAAGAGCGCATGTGGCGTTGCGGTTAGAGGTGCCCTCCGTCGCACACGAGGTCAATGGTTCGATCTCGCGCTCATGGCTCACCAAGTCATCCATCCCTCCGGGGTCGGTAAATTGGTACCAGACAGATCTCAGACTTGTCTGGGAGGATAAGCAGCACTGATCGGTTCAACAGGAGGCCTCCGCGAGTCATTGTAAAGGCCAGATATGCATTCAATCACCTCAAGCAAAGTTAAAAATTGAAGTCGAATGCATGGCGCATCTCTCAAGGATTGATCAACGGCGAGACCTTTATCCTTTTTGACACTGCCAAGGAAAGCAATAAGATAAGGATTTCTTAAGCTTATGTACAATTTACCCATAGAATACTTGAAATGATTAAAGATATGATGTCTTGATAATCAGAGTACTTCAACAAATTGAACACATGACAACGTTGCAAGACAGGTTGATGCCGGTATGAACCACTTCTGGCTCGAACGTATCAAAAAGTAAAGAAAAAAAAAGAAGACTGAGCGTTTAAACTTTGGATAAAGTTTTCGGGGCTGATAGTGAGCCTTATTATGTATGATAAAAAACATTATATTCACTAAATCTTGAGAAATTATTCCGACTTTCCTCAGTTTACATTCGTAATGAGCCCATAAAAGAGGCAGGCTCTACAGTAGGTGAACGTGCGTTTGAGAAAAACAAAAAAATTTATACTCCGTCTTCTTATCCTCGATTTTCTGGAGGAAAATTGAACAGAAGCAATATCAAAGCAATACAGGCACTCCCATAAACGTTTCATGTTTTCAACACCTGAAGTGTACTAGTCGGGAGAAACGATGTAGAATTCGACAAAAACCACATATCGTCGCCGATATGTTCGATAAAAATTTACAGGACACTGAAACAATAAAAGCTTTCCTACTTCGTAACACGAGTGCGGTACCCGACAACAGCGATATCGCTGCGGCGCGCGCGTGGCCGAACCCCACCTTCTCCTGCAGTCAAAAATGTACTACCTGTAGAACACCTAGCTAGGCTATCCTCGAGTCTTTCAATTTCTTGGAAGTTGGAAATATTAATTCTAATATCATTATATCACAAATTGTTCATGCAACAGATATTCACAGGGCGGCCAATGGCACCTAGCCCTACAGGAACTCCATTTGTGTTAAGAGTAAATTTGATATTATTCATACAGTTGCTCAAATACGTCATCATCAAAATCGGTGCCAACTGAAAGCATTATTTCTATAAAAGCAAAGACAACTTGACAAGTTGCATGAGTAAAGAGAAAGCAATGAAATCAGTATCGCGCTACTCACCGCCGGTTTCTCATCCTAATCTTTCCTTTCTACAGTCATGTTAGGTTCCGCTAGAGAACAGCCCTCACTAATCACTGGAACAAGATTAATACTTGACAAATGCAAAGACGTCCGCACCCATACAACAATAAACATCAATTTTTAATGACATGCTTGTATCATTTCTAAGACTGCTTTTAAATTTTCAATTCATTTGGTACCACAAAAATGAGAGAATCTAGAAAACGCACCACTATTATCAAGCGTATCAATGTTATCCTTTAGGGCGAATCCAGTAGGGTTTAGCGTGCTTGAAAAACCGTACTAAGAGCTAAAACTATGACGTGTATTCGACTATCCAATAAGCAAAACATCAAAACACATAAGCTCTTCTTGCAACTCGCATTGAATGCCTTTGTCAGGTGCTGTTCTGATATTTGAAACAATGTTTGCGAAACGGGTACTACATCATCAGCTGTCAGTACAGGAGTCGGTGGCGCGCTACTCTGAAAAGGTAGAATTTTAATTGATCCTTATATGTTCAAGTTATTAAAACAAAGGGCTCCACATAGGTTTATATCACTAAGTTGAACGTTTCCTTCATTCTATATGAGAACAAGCACATGGTAAATAACATTTCAAAGATTTCATGCGACCACCCTAAATATCTGTAGATAAGAGCAGCCCGTGGTGGAAAATAGATGCGTGCGTACACTTTTTTTTCCGTTGCGTTAAATCTATCTTTTCTTAGTTTTGAATTTTCTTTGCTTTTTTCCACTAAAATATGCTCTTTTATTCAGAAATTACGAAAAACTATTTCATTACCAAAAAGCGCGCGTACTGTCCATTCTTTTTTTCAGAAATGAATCGCTTTCATTTAAGGATAATTAGGCGCTGAGAGATATAAGAAAAAATTCAAAAAACACTAACGACAAAAGAACGCCTTATTGGAAAGCTAACACTGACTCATTAACTACTTTGCAGCACGGAAGCATCTTTTCAAACTAGCAACATCACTCGAATGAACAGTAACTTCCTGCATTATCAGTGTTTATCACGATTGGTAAATTAGAGATATTGCTCCGACTAATATCTGAAGTTCCAATCACTATAATTTCAAAACAATAACCGCTTTTGCTATAAGACTTATAAGTGAATTTTGCTTCGGACAATTTCACCATGATTACTTTTAACGTCTTTTTCTTATTCAACAATTGTCATATAGCGCTCTTTTTGAAACTCAACTTACGAGAAATTTCAGGCTGTTCTAATCATGCTTTGAAGAGATTAAAATAGCACCATTTATTTTGCTCCTTAAGTTCAAATTGGATGTAAAACAAGAATAGCGACATCAAATAACAATTCGAGAGGGAAGAGCTTTCAGAAGCGTAATGCAGAGATAGTATAGCAGTACTTCTCCCGAATAACTGCTATTTTTCTCATTGCACATAGTCATGAATAGTAAAGTTATCTACTTGCAGACAATTATGATAGTTATTGGATAGACAGTCAGTCATGATAACCGATTCGAGCTTCTCACACTAGCGGCCGGCCACATATCCCGCACAATCAGGTGTAGTGTGTTCGTGCAAGCGGCACCTGTTTCACGCACCAAATAACCAGTGTTGTAAGGGTGAACTATTCAAAAGGCAATGATTGCTTCTATGGAAAGACGTGTTTCCCACAGTAGCTGACCAGTATTGTGCTGGCAAACTACTAATAGGTTAACGCAAACAAGAATCTTGGAAAGCGTCATGGCCACAGAAATGCCATTTGGCTATGGAAGCCACTTGGAGCTCGGCTGCACCTTCCATCCCTCTTGCTTCTCAACTCATCTTCCTGTAGAAGCTTGCTCCCCATCACACTTTACATGTATAACAAAGAAGCTTTTCCCTTTTTACACTTTACATCTATGATACAGAATCTTACTCTTCGTTAACTCCACATGGATAATGTAGAGACTTGCCCTCACTACACTTTACATCTGTAATACAAAATGCTGTTCTCCGCTATACTTCACATGTAGAATACTGATGCTTGCTGCTCAATCTACTTTACATATATAGCAAATCTCCCAAGGAAATTTTGCTATCTTTTCGGGAATTCCATGATAATTTAGAGAACGCAGATGGCCCATGACCTTCGAGAGCAAGTGGTATCGCAGAAGTTCGAGGACCTTAGACAGAAAGTGGTCCAAGTGGCGACGGCGGAGCTGCCACCAACCTCAGCAGGCAGTTCGATCCCCGCCCAATGCACCAAATGTGCATCGGTGGTTCGGTGAACTTGGTGGTAGACTGCTCGCCTGCCACGCGGGCGACCAGGGTTCGATTCCCGAGCCGATGCACCAAGATTGTAGCAAAGGCGCCACCAGAAAACGCATTGGTAGTTCCGTGGTAGCGAGATGACACGTCAAGATGGCGATCCGGGTTCGATCCCCTGCCAATGCACATTTGGTGCACTGACGGGAGATCGAACCCGGGTCGTCAGCTTGGCGTGCCATCCCTCTACCATTGAACCACCAACGCATTGGGTGGCGCCATTGCTACAACATATATGCTGCTTCGCATTACTCGTAGGATTGTTCATTTCTAATAATTCCAACTATTGATTGCATAGTATTTATCCGTTGCAGGTCTATCGATATCGGTGTCTTGATGTTGTCGTATAATAATACGCATCCCGATTTTATTGCCCAAGTTTACAGCTTGATCTACTACAGTGAACGAAAATTCCTGCATGATAAAACGATGAGAAGAGCATTCTACACAGAAGAATCGCAGCAGAAGAATACAACCCATTTCCCCAATACCCAAATGTTCCCAGATTACCTACGTTGCGCGAAACCGAACAACTCGCACGTAATGGAATCATTTGATATTATCTCACTCTACACAAACGTATCAAATGACTCTGCAATGCAAGCCATTTTCGAACCTTTAACTGAAAATGAACAAAAAATAAATATGTATGGCTTCACAATTCAACAACTAATAACCCTCCTAAAACAATGTCTTAGTTGTTCAATCTTTCGGTGGTCGGGAAAATACTTCACAAACTCAGGGGGTTAGCCATGGGTAAACGTTTAGCACCTAGATTTGCCATCGCTTTTATGTATAAGGTGGAAGCTCCAGTTCTCGTTCACCACCCGTTGCTCTACTGCCGGTATATAGACGATTGCTTCATTGTCTGTTCCCCACAAGAGGAAATGGACAAGTGTTTTGAAGTCTTGAAGGGACAGTCAGAGAATATAAAATCTACGCGAGAGAGTCCAAACGGAAACTGGCTACCATTATTAAACATCCAAGTAAAGCTTTTGGATAGTGGCTGTAGTACAAAATGGTATAGGAAACCAAGTAACAAAAACATTTTGGTCTATCACCTTTCCTCTCATCCTTCACACACGATAAAATCGATAATTAAAAACATGTTTTGAACGGCTAAAAATGTGTGTACAGGAGAAGAGGAAAGGAACGAATCCTTAGACTTGGTACGAAAAATTGCCATTTCCAACGGATACAAAACATTTGCTACTCGGGAGTATTCAAAAAGTGTAATTAGGTGCCTGAAGAACGATACTCCACACCTGAATAGAGTTTCCTTCAAAGTGCCATTTATATCAAACGAAATTAGTAGCGCGGTTGAAGGGTGCCTAAAGAGATGCGGTCTTGAAAATTCCGTGCTAGATATCGAAATCCCACCTCCCACCCTACGCTAGCAGCTGATCCGCAATAGACTTTTATGATCGATTGTGCAACACCAAAATCTGTATGATCTGCCCTAACGGGAAAGAAGGGGATTGTATCAGATCGGGCACAACTCATTTACTAACATGTAAAACATGCGAGTAAGAATATATAGGCGAAATGGGTAGACCACTTCTCATCCGCATAAAAGAACATCTAGATAGTAAATCTTGAATAGATAAAACCAAACTTTTAGGTTTATATAGGGCACAAAAACACACAACAAGGATATTGATGTGACTGTCACAATCCCGGCGCAGGAATCAAAAACATCCACGAGCAAAACTCTTGAGGCATTTTGGATAAACCCCCAAAGCCCCGAAACGAACCGAAAGGACGAGTGCATCACCATCACACGAGATCTCGCGCCCTTTCTTCGTTTGATCTTCTAACCTGACCTAGGCAGCATATAAATAAGACCATCCGAATCATTCAAATAGACTAATACTTTTTGCGCCCAGGCTCTGAAGAAGGCGAGTCGCCGAAACGTCAGCCGAATTTCTACAACTAATTAACCAACCTCGCGTCAGTTAATCAAGATGTTTTCTCGATTTTCATATAAATAGAAATTATCTTTGTGGGAGGGGCACTGCTCAAATGAAAATTTTACCCGACAATGCTTCAATCCTGAAAGACGGCTGTTCATGATAGTGATTATCCAGTGATAATGACTGTTTTCCATTAAAAACTCATCCTGTAGAAGTGTGATCATCGGCTTGCAAGAGCTTTGAGATGATCTGATAACCAACTTTCCTCTAACATTAGACTTTCTTATCAATCATATCTTGTTTGTTGATAGAGCCAGTATCACGAAGTTGTTATGAAACAAATTCATTCCGCTAATACTTCAACGCATTTCCTCTCCATCAGGGCCGATCAGATTAGATGAGTTCAAATTTAGAAAAGTATGATCCATCATATATTTATTCAGCCGTGGCTGGCACTTTTCAAGACGACGGAAAGCAGATAGAAAAACGACTGAAATAGATCACGAAAATCCAGTGCATCGACTCAACTTGTGTTATATTGAAGTGGCCTGAAGGAGGTGGTGACTATATCAGTGCAAATAGGACAAAGGTAGCGGATTAGGAGAAGAAATTGATTGCACGCAGGTATATGATCACAGTAATGCACTAAGCTCTCAAGATTCATCTGACGACAATTACATTGACAACATACAAAGATTTTAGGATACTGTAGTTCATAACGGCAAAAACGATTAACCATGATGAGTAATAACACCAGAAACCCCTTTGTCGACAATAGACCTAAGTATCACTTTGTGGGAAAATTTAGCAGATTTCGTCTAATGGAAGTGCCGAAGTTTCAAACAGTATGACAGTAGCTCTTCTTTTTTCTGAAAGACTTTTCTTTCTAACCGGTAGAGGCACAAATTCGAATGCGAGACCCAAAAAGGTCAACAGTTGTGGCTTTCCTCTTCAACTTTTTCCACATTTTCTTGAAAAAACCATTTTGAACGAATGCCACTCTCAAAGTCATCTGATTCTCAGTACATATTAACCGTATTACAAGACGTCTCTCTAGTGTTGTCAAAAACTTTGTGACGGAAAAGAAGGAGACTTATCTGGTGTCCATTAATTTCATTTGATGATTAACAGTGAATTAGAGACATGTTAAAAATCTGAAACATCGCTCATAAGTCAACAATACGTATTTAGATCGGTCAGCCAGAAATCGTCCACCAAAGTTGGCTTGGCATATAGGTCGCAATGGGTACTAATTTAGATAAATAAGATGGACATAGAGTAGGTCATATTGCATCGACTTCAATTCATACACTTTCCGTTTGTATAATTTGCTGCGAGGGGCTTACGTGCTAAATTTATTACCAAGCTCAAAAAGCATCCAAAGCAAAGGTGCCTGACGTAATTTGGGAAAATGTGTTTTCTAAACCCAATAAATTGCGAAAAGCAAACAAATTTTCTAATATATACATGGAAAAAAAATCGGCTGTCTTCCCAAGCACCGCTACACTGGATGTAGTTGTACAGGTGCCAAAGCTGCATCAATAGTATAACAAACACGAGGAAATGATTATACAAGTCTTGCATATTTGATCTAGGGTCTAATAAATAAAACGACCGACGATTTTTGGCAAATGATTTGGGAGCAAAAGTGCAAGAGCATTACATGCTGTGCAATGCTACCGAATGTGGGAAACATTGATGCGAGCAGTACCGGCCACTTACTGCTGAATCACCCGTAAGTATTTCTCAAAATTCGTGTAGGTTTTGTCTATATCAGAAATATTAGCATATGTTGTATGTGGTAGAATGTTGCAGTAAGAAATAGGTCTAGACTCAACTGAAAAACTAGAAAGGAGCAGATTTCACAAAAGAGATTCAAACGTTCACCACTGTGGACCCAAGGTAGATTTTGTATCTCCTTGCATTTCATTCAACCTGACTTCCAATCTAAGCGGACGAGACTAGATAATTATGCTAGCAAACTAATCGCTTGATCCACACAGAGCTAAAAATCTACGTTCAGAACAAAGCTGGCATGTAAACATGACGAAACTAAAAAAATTTTGAAAGACAATCACTTTCAGATACTGACCGCAGTACAGAAGGAAAAGTACCAGCAGGAATATGAAGAATTAGAAAACAGCTGCAGTTCCACTTGAGGATTACTGCAGAAAGCGTTCCTTGTATGGTATTCACTTATCGAATGTTATATGCTTAAGGTTTGAAATTTTAGTTTTTATACAACTAATTAATTAGAATGTATGCACACTAAGTGCTATTAGCGATGTCGTTTCGGGTAGAAAAATGTCTTTTTAGTAATTCCCAAGACCGACTGTCTATTAACTTCGGTGAGCTTCAATATAATTCCTGATTTTCTTCTTCAGCCAAACACGAGGTGTTACATTAAACTTTAATTCACAGCTGACGTTTCGACACTTCGCCTTTTTCAGAGCCTGGAAAGGTCAAATTGCCCGCAATCCAATCAGTCCAACACCTTCATTACTCCGTTAGAAAAAAATCACCAGACTTAGATTTCAATCTCATCAAGCACAGAATCAACTCTCAACATACTCACCGCTTTTTATGTGTTCCACCGAATGATTCAAATGGAGACCACCAGAAGAAGATCACATAGGCTCGTAATGCACCTTACCCATCAAATACTATTTTATACTTATATACAAGACTATACAATTGTTCTGTCTTTTTAGTGTAAGAAATTGTAGCAATTTTGAACACCATTGACATTTCTTGTTAGTATGTCAAATGTTCGAATACAAAATGTGAGATGAAAGTGTTGTACTTGGAGTGGTTGGAAGAACTATTTTACACACCAAAAACGGTATCGAGAACAGTAACAAAGCAAAAGATGGCTACTTTTTGCCACGAGAAATTTGCTGACGTTTGAAGAGAAATACTTGAATACAAGAAGGCAAGTGAATACATTGGGCATTAAATAGTTGCATACTTAGGCAGCCCGTTTCTAATGTTCGTGCGGAGACAAGCATATTTATAATTTGTTTTCTTCCCACACAATCCTTGTGTGTAGAAAAATGTTGCCTTTTTGTTTATAGTCGAATTCCAGAGTATCCCACAGAACAATCCATACCTTT